ATATATATATATATATACATATTATGTATAACGCACCACTTATCCATAGTATACACTTAATATACGAATACACACATCCATATGTACTACATGTATTTCTATATAATTATATAATATAAATATATAATAAAATACACGCATTAAATTTTCATATATATGTTAATACATATATATATATATATATTATATTCATACACATATTACGTAAATTATACATACATGTATACACACATGTTCCTATATTAGTCATATATATATATATATATATATATTATATATATGTACACGATGGTGTTATCGTGTGTAGTGATAGAGAAATCTTTTTTTTTTTCTTTTTTCGAAACGATTTTCGCACTCATCCGTTTTCGTTTGATTCCCATGAAAATGTCTCGGTGAAGTTCGTTTTCCGCTCTTTCCTACAAAATATAGAAACATCGAAATCAAAGTAAAATTGTACACGATAAAGCCTATAAACATATAAATATCATAAAATACAATGTATATATTATACAAAAAATATAATAATATATACATGTCATCACTACAGTGAAACGACTACTCACTACCCATAACAACAAACGAGTTCAAATCAATAAAGAGAAACATGGAAAACATATAGAGAAGAAACTCGCAGCGATCTCTCGACGACGGTTCTTCAATCTCTGCTCCCGAGAAACTCCGTCTTGATTCTCTCTCGAGTTCTCTGGCTTCTGCTGTGATCTCTCGATGATTTCTGAAGTCTAAGACGTCCTCTATTTATTTCTTTGACGGCTAGGCTTCTTTCCATTCTGAAAACAGAAGTTCGGATGCAAAATAGGAAGTTTTCTCGAAACGTAACACGACCGTGTTGGGGTAGGACACGGTCTGTGTCAATTGTCTGATCTTCTGCACGGGCTGGCCACGGGCGAGTTGCGTCTCGACACGGCCGTGTTTGACTCGACACGGTCCGTGTCAATTGTCTGTAAGAATATCTTCGTTTCCTTGCCTTTGCACGACCGTGTTTAAACTCGACACGACCGTGTTCAAGTGCAACTCGAGCTGGAAATGCCTTAATTGTTCTGTTCCGGTCCAATATGCTCCGAAGTCCTCGATTATGTTCCTCTGATGTCCATAATGCGTCCATTACCTATTCAATCACCAGAGATTGCAGAAGAAACAAAACTCAGTGCTAAAATGATCCTAAATGTCTAATAATGCACAAAACCGATGCAAAAGTGCTACACAATGGGCTTTGAAATAGATGAGAAAGTCGTGTTATCAAAAACCGACATGGATGGCAATGTGCATACGTATAAAACACGATTGGTGGCGAAAGGATTTCGACAAATTCATGGTATTAACTATGACGAAACATTCTCACCAGTCGCTATATTTAAATCCATTCGGATACTCATTGCCATAGCCGCATATTACGACTATGAGATATGACAAATGGATGTTAAGACTGCATTCCTTAACGGTAATCTGCTTGAGGGTTTTGAAGATCCCGAGCATCCAAGCAAGGTATGTAAGCTTCAGAGGTCTATTTATGGACTGAAGCAGGCTTCAAGAAGCTGGAACCAGCGTTTTGATGAGACAGTCAAAGAGTTTGGCTTCTCGCAAAACGAGGACGAACCATGCGTTTATCAGAAGGCCAGTGGGAGCGCAGTTATGTTTCTGGTCTTATACGTTGATTACATCTTGCTCATCGAAAATGATATTCCTACTTTGCAAGACATTAAGTCTTGACTAGGAAAGCGTTTCGCGATGAAAGACTTAGGCGAGGTTGCCTATATCCTAGGCGTCAAGATATATAGAGATAGATCAAGAAAGCTAATCGGTCTAAGTCAGAGTACTTACGTCGACAAGGTGCTAAAACGGTTTAGCATGCAAGAATCCAAGAAACGATCATTGCCGATGAGGCATGGTTTAGTTCTGAGCAAAAATCAGTGTCCAAAGACTACTGATGAGCGAGAACACATGGATAAAATTCCATACGCTTCGGCGATAGGATCTATCATGTCTGTGCAATGTACTCGGCCAGATGTATCGTTAGCATTGAGTCTAACGAGTAGATACAAGTCTGATCCAGGTGAGCCACACTGGATAGTCGTAAAGAACATCCTGAAATATGTGAGAAGGACTAAGGATGCGTTCTTGGTTTACGGTGGATGTGAAAATGAACTCGTTGTAAGTGGTTACATCGATGCCAGTTTTCAGTCCGTGATTTTCGATCGCAATTAGGTTTATTGTTCCTTCTGAACGAAGGTGTTGTTAGTTGGAAGAGTTCCAAACAAGCCACCATTGCAGATTCCACTACAGCGGCTGAGTATATTGCTGCATCGGATGCGGCAAAGGAGGCTGTTTGGATCAAGAAATTCGTTGGAGACCTTGGCATTGTTCCTAGCATTACAAACCCCATTACATTGTACTGTGACAACAATGGTGCGATTGCGCAAGCCCAGGAACCAAGGTCACACCAGAGATCCAAACACATACTCAGGCGATTTCATCTTATTAGAGAAATCATAGACAGAGGAGATGTGATGATATGCAACGTATCAGCAGATGACAACATCGCCGACCCTTTGACGAAGCCTCTCCCTTCGTCGAAACATGAATGTCATGTTAGATCGATGGGGATTAGACATTTAGTTGATTATGATTAGAGCATTTGGAGATTGTGATGTTTTATGCTCTAGACATGATTATTCACACGAACACTTTATTTATTGTACTTGGATTCATTGTGATGAATGGAAGTATGTTTTTTCTTATTGATTATTATTCAAATTGCATGTTATTGTTTAATAATGTTTTCCATGTATTACTATTGTAATAATACTAAATTCCCTAGTCGATCGTTAATGTGGGAACATTAACGAACAAAGACTAGTATGATGCATGATAGATGATCATATAGATGATTATAGCGTATTGGATACGGATCATGATCATGGGTGTTCATTTGTGAATGAATACTGGATGACCCGCATGAGATTGTCACATGGACCTGATGTCATGACTTGAATCTCATGTAATACTCCGCTTTGAGTCCTAACACTGAGGTCTCTATGTGTATCCGACATGAGGAATCACTACAAAAAAATAGCAAAAGGGTGACGCAACTTTTGCGTCACCCTTTTATATACCCTTTTCAAAAGGTGACGCAATAGTGACGCAACCAAAAGCGTCACCATTCATACCGTCACCAATTCCGATTTCGTCACCAAGCGTCACCAAAGGGTGACGCAATAGTGACTTAACTTTTGCGTCACTAAATAGTGATGCAATTGCGTCACCAAAAGGTGACGCTAAAAGGTGACGCAATTGTTGCATCATTAAAATGTATTTTGGATCCAAAAATATTTTTTTTGATCCCAAATCTAATCCTATACCCTAATCCCGACCTCTAACCTCCAACTGCGATCTTAAGCCAAATCGAAAATTCTGAAATTGAATCCTTTAAATCCACTTCCCAGGAGGTCTCCATCCTTCCACTACTCCAACTCCACCATGCTTAACTTGAGTTTCAATTGACAAGTAACCAACTGTTCCAAGTTAAACTTCTGATACATTACTACATTAATACATATACATATACAAATATTTATACTTACAAATATATATACGTATATGCTTGTCCGTATATACACATACATAAAATATATATTTATATATATAACATATGTTTGTATGTATAAATACATATATACATACATATATATATAAATACACGATTATATATATTCGTAAATATCATGATATGTATAAATATATAGTATATATGTATATGTAAAATACAGATTTCACTACAAGAAAACACGAAAAGGGTGACGCAAAAAGTGACGCAAATTTTGCGTCACTAAAAGGGTGACGTAGTAGTGATGATTTGGTGACGCAAATAGTGACGCAACAAAAGCGTCACCAAATCGTCACTAATTAGTGACGATCTGGTGACGAAAAACCTCGCGTCACCATTTGGTGACGCACTTATAACGCAAAACTGCGTCGCCAAATGACGCACGGAAATTTCGTCACCCTTTCGTCACCCTTGCGTCACTAATTGGTGACGTAATTGCATCATTCACATTTACTGACGCAATTTCGTCATTAATATTTTGGTGACGAAATTGCGTCATTCAAAGTGACGCAATTGCGTCATTCATAGTGACGCAATTGCGTCACTCGTCACTATTTGTTATTTTAGTGACGAAATTGTGTCACTCTATTTTCTTTATACCACACCGCGACCTCATACACTCTTGCACCCGAAGAAAAAACTCAAAAAATGGTGTCGAGTAATAACAATATTTATTACTCAAGAAAATGGATGTATGAAAGAGTAAATCCTTCTACGGGTAATGTATCTACGCATTACGAAGAAGGATTGACTAATTTTTTGGAGTTTGCAACAAATCAACATATTTTTCTTCAGAGAGGAAAGATATATTGTCCGTGCCGAAGATGTAAAAACGAGAGGGAAGAAGTTCCAGAAGTTGTGAGGAGACATCTATGGAAAAAAGGTTTTGTCTCTAACTATTACGTCTGGGTTTATCATGGTGAGATGTTTCAAATTTCTGATGAGAATATATCCGTGAGAAATATTGATGTCTATGATCAGCCAATTTTATATATTGAGATGGTTCAAGATGCATTTTCATCTCAATATAATGATCAGTTTAGAGAAGATCCGGTGAATGAGGGATCGAAAAAGTTTTTCGATCTATTGGAGGCTGCAAACCAACCTATGTATGATGGTTGTAAAGAAGGGCTTTCTCAAATATCGGCTTCTGCTAGATTGATGGGATGAAGACGAGTTATAATCTTACAGAGAACTGCATGAATGAAGTTTGTCAGATGCTGAATGATTATCTTCCTGAAGGTAATAACGCTTCAGATTCGTATTACGATATGTCTAAACTGATGGGATCGTTGAGAATGGAATCGATAAAAATCGATGTATGTCCTAACAACTGTATGATATTTTGGAAAGAATCTAACCAGTTGGACAACTGACGATTTTGTGGAGCTGAAAGATACAAGGCGAAAAAATCTGGTCAACGCAACCGTGTTCCTTACAAAAGGATGTTTTATCTACCGATTAAAGATCGTCTGCGAAGATTGTATGAATCTCATCAAACAGCTTCACATATGCGGTGGCATGCTGAACATACATTAGATCCTGAGAACATGAGTCATCCATCTGACGGTGATGCATGGAAGAATTTTAACGAGGTATATCCGAACTTTGCATCAGAACATAGAAATGTTTATCTATGTTTATGCACAGATGAGTTTGCACCGTATGGTCAATCGGGAAAACAATATTCGTTGTGGCCTATTGTTATGTCTCCTTATAACTTACCTCCAGATATGTGTTTGAAAAAAGAGTTCTTGTTCTTGACGGTTTTGATTCCGGGCCCGGAGCATCCGAAGAAAAGTTTTGACATTTTTCTTCAGCCTTTGATCGAAGAATTACTTGAGTTGTGGCATTGTGGAATTGATGCATACGATGCCTCACAGAAAGAGAATTTCAAGTTGAAGGCTGTTTTGATGTGGACTATAAGAGATTTTCCGGCTTATGGAATGTTATCGGGATGTAGTACTCATGGAAGATTGCCATGCCCGTATTGCATGGACGATATACAATCATTTCAGTTGAAACATGGAAGGAAATCATGTTGGTTTGACTGTCATCGCAGGTTTCTATCGCTAGATCATCCATGGAGACGGAACAAAATAAATTTCAGGAAGAATAAGGTTGTGACAGATCCACCTCCTCTTCTTTTGACGGGTGAAGAGATATTGTGGGAGCGGATTGAAAGCATTCATGGTTTGGATAAAACCATTGATTGTGGTGGAAATGGTCATCGCAAACCATGTGAATACGGAGAAACACATAATTGGTACAAAAGAAGCATATTCTGGGATTTGCCTTATTGGAGGACTCACAAGCTTCGACATAATCTGGATGTTATGCATATCGAGAAGAATTTCTTTGATAACGTGATCAACACGATCATGAATGTCAAAGGTAAGTCGAAGGATAATCTAAAATCAAGGATGGACATCAAAGAAATATGCAACCGAAAAGAGTTAGAGTTGAGCAATCATGGAAAAGCCGCAATTCCGATATTTAGACTGTCCAAAAGTGCTAATATCGCACTATTGAAGTGGTTGAAGGAAGATGTTCAATTCTCGGATGGTTATGCATCTAACATCGGGCGATGTGCTGATCTTGATGGTGTGAAGTTAAATGGAATGAAGAGTCATGATTGTCATGTCTTCATGCAACGACTTCTTCCAGTTGCTCTTGCTGAACTACTCTCGCGCAATGTCTACGAACCTTTATGCGGTACATATATATATATATATATCATGATTTTTAATTATTTTTAAATATATATAGATATAAATCAAAAAATAATATCAATTAATAATATTTTTATACATGTGTGCAGGTATCAGCACATTTTTCAGAGATATATGTTCAAGAAATCTTAATGTTGGTGATGTTCAGCGTATGAAGGATAACATATCGCTAATCTTGTGTGCACTAGAAAAGGTGTTTCCGCCTTCGTTTTTCGATGTTATGGAGAATTTGGCTATACACCTACCAGATGAAGCAAGACTTGGTGGTCCAGTGCAATTTCGATGGATGTATCCGTTTGAAAGATTGTTTTTCCATCTGAAAAGAAAGGTGAAAAACAAGAACAAACCGGAAGGGGCAATCGTGAAGCAGTATGTTAACGAAGAAATTACGTACTTCACAAATTTCTATTTTGAGCCACATATCAAGACAAAAGCCAAAAGTTCTTCTCGGTATGGGGATGAAGATGAGATGATGTTTCAATTTAATCAAGTTGATGGTTGTGATATCCCGACTATATTCAACCAAATAGGTACTTTTAAATTTATTGCATTTTCCAAAAACATATATACGTATATATAAATTTAATTAACCATTTTGCGGTTCTAATTAAAAGATATATACAAATGCAGGGAGATTGAGTGGAAAATCGAAAGAAAGATGGTTATCCGTCGAAGAATGGCGTCATGCCCACACATACGTGTTGTTGAATTGTGATGAAATTCGACCAATAGAAAGAGTATTTGACGAGGAGACAAAGAGACTTAATCCTAATATGAGCGATGAAACATTTATAGATCTCAAAGAATCATCATTTGCGGCATGGTTACAAAATTATGTAAGTTATTACTAATACTTTACTATTTTCGGTAACTCATTCCATATATACTTATGCTTAATTTATGACTAATTATAAATCTAAATTAATAATTTTTTTTTAATGTAAGTATCTCATTCTTCGCAGAATTTTCCTATTTGGATACAAGATTTGATCCGGGGTCCATCAAGAATGGTGAAATATTGGCCAATTATATTCACAAGAGGATACACTTTCCATACTTATGCTCATGATTCAGATCGAAAGACTTTCAACTATGAGATATGTGTTAAAGGAGCAAATTGTTGTGATGTGGTTGATGAGCCAGACTTTTATGGTATCCTCCAAGACATCATGGTGTTAGAACACCACGGTTATATTGGTTTGAAGATGGTTATATTTAACTGTGATTGGTTTGATCCGACCATTGGAAGGGGTATGAGAAGAAATGGATCGGGCGGTTTTGATATCAACTTATCCAAGAAGTATTCAAAATACGATCCGTTTATCCTATCTTCTCAAGCGGATCAAGTATGTTACATAAGTTATCCAACGTCCAAACGACGTCGAGATCATTGGAGAGCTGTCATTAAAATTCAACCACGAGGTGTTGTTCGTGAAGAAGAAGGTTCAACCGATATCTCATTTCAAGAAAGACGCATTGATGATGATATTGGTCAACAATTCCGTATTACGTATTCACAGAACGAGTAACTTGTTGTATCAAACAAAGAGGATGTTGAATACGATAATTTAGTCGGTGATGAAAGAAATGACGACATTGAAGATGAAGAAGAAGTTGAAGTAACATCCGATGAAGATAGTGATTAAAATTTTATGTAATTACGAAATCTTTAAGAAAATATATATATAACATAGTGACGCAACAGGTGACGCAGGTGCGTCACCATAAGCGTCAAAATAGTGACGCAATTGCGTCACTATATGCAAATGGTGACGCAATTTCGTCACCAATATTTTGGTGACACATTTGCGTCACCCAGGTACGAAACGTCACCTCGCTCTACCGTTACTGGTTGTACATGTGGCACATATGGTGACGCAATTGCGTCACCAACATCGTCTTTCTTGGTGATGAAATTGCGTCACCCTCGTGGTTTTACCGTGGTTAATTACTGCCTTGGGTGACGAAATTGCATCACCATATTTTAAGGGTGACGCATTTGCGTCACCAATAGCGTCTTTTTTGGTGACGAAATTGCGTCACCCATATGAGTATATATACGGCGTGACGCAATTGCGTCAATCATGCACAGCAACATTTCAACTCATTCTCTCCTCTCTTCGGTAAAAGGTAAGTTTTTTTTTAAAAAAAATTATTTTAAAATTTTAATTTATAAATTATAAATATAATTTAAGTTTTAAATAAATTGTAGATGAGTCGTTCTTTCGGAAGGGGTTCACGGTTATCAGGAGAAAGATCTCAGAGATCTCCCTCAATTGATATGGCCGAATCTCAACCGCAACCACCAACGCAGGTTACAATTGATAACGTGGCTGAGGTATTAGATAATCCTGCAAGAAATTTGTTATCGAAACTGGATCCGAAAAAAATCCAGGGACAAAATGGTAATTTAAATTTTAATATGTTTACTTTAAATATTTTGTTTAAATATAAAATTTTAATTAAAATTTTAACCATATTTTTTAGGTTTGGTGTTGATGTTGAAATAACCACCAATTTATCAAAATTCATCAAACAAAATTTTAAAGGTGCTTATCTTAATTGGAGTACAATTCCACAACCTACCAAAGATTCGTGGTGATTAAGTTTTGTGGTAAGTTTTTTATATTTATAAATACTTGTAACATTGAAATTGATTTTATTATGTAATTTATATTTTATAAAAAAATTTATATAGCAACAATGACATTGGGATCTTGAGCATGATGCACTTGTTCGACGCAAGTGGAAGGAGGTTGTAATTCGATTAGTGAAAGCCAGAGTTCATAAACTCAAACAAAAATGGCTTTCTGAACCCTATATGGATCCTCCTTATTGGGTCGAAAAAGATCATTGGGATCGAATGGTGGAGCATTGGGCTTTCCCAGTTGCCAAAGAGAAAAGTCAGCGAGCGTCTCAGAGTCGAAAAGCTGAAATGGTTCCGAATGCCGGAGGGCATGTGCATACATCGGGAGCTAAACCTTTTAGTCGTGTTATGCATGAAATGGCTAAAAATAGTCAAGCGCCAACGTTACTAGAACTGTTAAAAGCAACACATACACGAAAAGATGGTGTGATGGTTGATGGAAAAGCGCAACAAATCGCGGAACAAGTTCAACATGAGGTAAATTTTCTAATATAAATTTTTTTAATTAATATTTTATGTTTAATTTTAATTGTTTCTTTAATATTTTAGATTATTGCGTCTCAACCAACACAAGGCGAAGCTTCTGCATCGGAACCTAACTTGCCGAAAGAAAAAATTGACGAGATATATCTTCAGGTAATTTTTAAATATATAAACTTATAATAATTCCAATTCAATTTTAATTTAAAATAAATTATTAATTAATTATATTTTTATTACATAGGTTGTTCCACCGAACAAATTTGGATGGATATACGGTCTCGGTTCAATGCAAACCGATATCACATATCATCCTGGTGAAGGTCCTCCTTCAACTGCTCAGGAAACACTTTCACTCGTATGACGAGTGCGACAATTAGAGGAGCAGTAAGCTGAACTCCTCCGGCAACAAGCGGAATTCTTGCGCCGACAAGAAGAAGATCGGAAACTCATTGAAGAACTGCGAGTGCAAGCAGAATTTTTCAATGAGTTCCAAACGCGAGGATTTCCGAGTTTCGGAAGCGGAGGACAAGGAAGCGGTGGCAGTGGCGACGGCGACGGCGATGAAGCCAATTACGACGGAGAAAATCAAAATTAAATATTTTATATTTTTTTGGTTTTGTAAATTAATTATTAAAAACTTTAATTATATATTTAAATATATTAATATTGTTTTGTTTTTTTATTTTTTTATTTTATTTTTTTATATAGTGACGCAAAGTGGTGACGCAAATTGGTGACGAATTGCATCACCGACTGCGTCACTAAATAGTAACGCATTTTTTCACGCAAAGGCGTCACCCATTTGGTGACAATTTGCGTCACCAAATGCGTCACTATGTAGTAAAGCATTTTGTCACGTATGTTGCTGACGCAGTTGCGTCATTAATTAGTGACGCTATTGGTTACGAAATTGCGTCACCAATTAGTCACGTTGTTGCGTCACTTTTGCGTCACCAATGAGTGACGAAATGGGAGCGTCACCAAAGCGTCACTAATTGGTGACGCTTTGTGACGAAATCGCAAATGGTGACGGTGCAATTGGTGACGATTTTTTTGCGTCACTATTTCGTCACCCTTTAGAAAGGGTGACGCAAAAATGCCTGTTGGTGACGCAAAATTTGTGTCACCATTTATTTGTTTTTTTGTAGTGTTTATATATAAAATACTCGTATATTTGTATATACAAATACACACATATATAATATATATACGTATACATAAAATATACGTTATACATATATTCGTATATTCATACGTATAAATACACATATATAATATACATATATATATAATTTATATTTATACATAAATGCTCGTATATTTGTATGTACAAATATATATATATATATATATACGTATATATAAAATATATATTTATATATAAATATTTGTATGTTTATACGTATAAATAAGAAAATACAGATATAGTGACGCTATTGTGTCACCAAAAGGTGACTAAAGCGTCACCTTTTTTCATGACACATATTTTGCGTCACTATTTCCGTCACTTTTGCGTCACCATTTTAGCGACGCAAATTTTGTGTCACCTTTTGCATCACTTTTTCCGTGTTTTATAGTAGTGAATGGTATTCTTTGACACAGTCAAACGTCGGAACTGTAAAAGAACGACTATAACGGCCGTAGTTGGGAACATCATGAATCACATGGAGGTAGTAGAGAGCCAAGTTGGGATTTTGTTCCTCTCTTATGTGAAGAGAGAGATATCGCTGGGCCCCTCGAGTGAGTTACGTTGAAATGCGCGTAAACAGATGAAGAGTCATCTGTAGGTTCAGTTAACTCAATAAACGAGAAAGCAGTCAAAATGTGACGAGATGACTTGTTCCATGTCTCTGTTTTGACTTATGATATCATGTGATAAAAAGGACACAAGTGTTGAATGTTACTTGGCTCGTTAGATCACACTAACCTAGTCTGACAAGGGAGTCATAGTGTCTTACTAGAGACCACCTATGATTATTAGTCCGAAATAGTTTCGCAACTATGTCTGCGTTGGACGGGCCTACATGGTCACACACGTAGGGCTGTTACTATTTTCTGGAGCGTGCTTGGGAAGTTCTATTGTGATAGACTGAAACTCGATCATGAGTAGAGCAAGTGGGAGATTGATGAATATGGTGCTCTGGCCACGATCGGTTTGCAAAACTAATTAGAAATCCATTGGATGGGTTTAGGTGGCCCAATGGGCCCATATGTTTATTGATGAGGTTAATGAGCTTGTTTTCTATTAATAATTAAGTGAAGGCCTATTAGGCCCATTTGGTTTAATGAAACCCTAAATCCTTTTATAATTATGTTTAGAAAACATAATTTAGGGTGAAGAAACATACGAGAATTTCGAACTCTCCCTCTCTCTTGGCCGAAATTTCTCTCTCCCGGAATTATCTCGGTTTTCGTTTCCGATCTCTAGATCGTGTTCTAGCAGACGCAATCCCGTGAGTGTGGACTAGCTGTAGAGAACGTTGGATTTCAACGTTTGTGACAGGTCTCTGGGTCGAAACAGGTTGGTATATCGATATCTTTATCATTATATACAAGATCTGTTGATTGAGTTTCGTTTCATATTATTCCGCTGCGTGAAACCCAAGATTGGAACCCTAGAAACCGTTATTCCGCATGTTTAGGGATCTCCAAAACCCCAACATCGGGAAGATCCAATTGTTACGTTCACTCCAAAACAGGTAGGTTGTGGCCTGAAGGATTAGTCTTGAAATGGTCGCCCTGCTCTTTCCGTCATCGATGCGAGGGCCCTCAATCCAGTTGATGCTTTCCTGCAACGAGCTCGGGGGAGAGTTTCAACAACATGCAGCATAGTATGATCATACGTCAGTGCTGTATGGGCAGTGGAAGAAGATATGTTGATGTGTCTCCTCCTCCAGCCCGCATAACACCCATACAACCTCTGTTTGAAGGCCCCATCTCCTCAAGCGGTCCCTCGTCGGCAAGTGCTCCAAATAACCTGCCATAGAAGAAAGGAGTGTCGGGGTATAGTCTCTCGGAACCAAACCGTACAATACCACCTCACAGTGGATTTTCTCGTACGGATCAGTTTCCAAGTCTTCGAAGTCGAGAAATGATGTTTGAATTCACCGTTGTCCTGTTTCCATAATACCCTATCCTCACCTAGATCTGGGCGTGGGGGGTCTATTTCTGTCAGCGAGAACAGAAGCTCTTGGATTCTTTCTGTTCTTGCTGTCGGAAAAGATCACCCACCATTTCTGACCGCTTCTGCCACCGATGAATGTCTTGGTATTCTCATCAGTCTCGGTCCAAGCTCACCAATATAATCGATCAGCGGCTCATGTGATGTCCAATCATCGAGCCAAAACTGCGTATGTTTTCTGTATTTTGATGAATGGGCGTGCCGTTATGGTCGATGAGAAGATGAGTAATTTACGTTCAAATATGTCTAGATTCTCTTTTTTGTGTGCGTTGGTAATGAGATTTTGTGGTTTCGTATGAAGATTTTTTAAATTTAAAATACATCTAAAATAAATTTAAATTCGATTAAAATCAAATACATATAATTTTTGAAAATTTAAAAATTGAAGTGAAGCCTAAAAGGTTCACTGCCCACGTTTGAATAAAGAACTAGAAAAGATAAAGAGAGTGAAGAGAAAAATGACAGGAGATGAATTCATTGTACGATCTTTGTATTTAGTGGGCCCATGTCACCTACATTTGCAAATCAAGCGTTCATATTTTTAAAGTGTAAAGATGACCCTAATGATACCCGCTGGGATTTCCAATCACGTAATTCATATATAGTTATAATATACGATATGCTTTTTTTAGTGCCAAAGAAAGCCACGAAAAAACATATTTTAATATGAAAAAAAAAACATGTCGAAAGAGCACAAACAAACGCTGTTTGCCCCGGAGACGTGAACACGTGGCTTGGACATAGGGAAAAGAACCGAACCCATCAGATTTCCTCCCAGGTTAAGTTTTATAATCTAAAATGTATGATTAATTAAATTAATCAATCAATTAAATTAATAAAAAAAACATGGGAAATGACAATTAAAGCATCGACATTAACCCACCGGCCTCACCTGGTTTGGCCGGTGCCATGTCGAAATCGACACGTTCAAGGCAGAATCTGATGCTCCCTCTCCTCTTGCCACGTGTTACATAGGCTTAGAAAGCGAACCGGACATCTAAACCGAACCGCATGGATTAAACCGGAAAAGTTAAAATTGAAACCAATTAAAATCCTTTCTGAATTATAAACCGGATTCGATCGATTCGTATATGACAACTCAAAACCAATTTCTCCGGTTAAGAAAACGGTTTAATAGCAAACCAGACAAAAACCGGATATCCGAACCATACCAATCTTTTTCTCTCCCTATTTATACTTCTGTCCTTTGGTGGTTATGAAACTACTGCTCTTCGTGTTCCTTCGGACAAAATCAGAGCCTCAAACATCCAGTTTCCTCTTTATTTTTGTCCTTCCTCTCTGAAATTTCCAAAAACAATTTCAGAAAATTTCAACAAAAAAGAAAAAAAAAAGTTGAGAAGAATGAGTAAATTCTGGACTTTTCTCTCAGGTGTTCATTCCCTCGCCGGGTAGAGTTTATATTTTTCCCACTGCTAATTAATTTTTTCTAATTCATGTTTCTCTGTTTTGGTTCATTTCCATAAATATATGATTAAGTTTCCAGATGTTTCTCCTTTTCAAATATTTTTTAATATACTCTTCCGACCATCTTCAGGCCTGTGTTGATGTTGCTGTATCCGTTGTAAGTTTTGTTTTACTTTAATTATTTTTTTTCTTCAATATGAACTTTCCTTGTTCTTGTTTTATTTTCATTGAATGGAAAAATATATAATTTTCCTGATTTTATTGATATATTTTTTTTTTGGAAAAAGATATGCGTCGGTGGTAGCAATAGAGAGTCCATCAAAAGTAGACGACGAACAATGGCTTGCTTATTGGATTCTGTATTCATTTCTCACTCTCACTGAGCTTATCCTCCAATCCCTTTTAGAATGGTAAGAAAACAAAAACAATATATATATATATATATGCATTAAATCTCTTTCTTTTAAACAATTTTTTTCATATATATATATATGTATAATTTTTGTGTAACATTGCAGGATACCGATATGGTACACGGCGAAACTAGTGTTCGTGACATGGTTAGTCTTGCCACAAACAAGAGGAGCGGCTTTCATATACGAACGGTTCGTGAGGGAGCAATTCAGGAGACACGGCATTCTCCGAACCAAGCACGGCAACAAGACCAAGGTAAAGTTCATCGTTTTCTTATTAATAAGGAATATGGCATGCCATTACTAGTGCATGTTAATTATATATATTATCGAGTTAGATTTGGATTAGGTTAACACAACAGATATATGTGAATCGAAAATACACAACCTAATCGAATATTATCTATATATAATATTTGTTTTTTTTTAGAATAATATGGAATATGGCGTGCTATTACTAGTGGATGCCAATTTTATATAGTATCTGGTTAGGTTCGGATTAGGTTAACAAAACAAATGTAAGTGAATGGATGTAGATTCAAATAAAACACCTAATGGAATTGATAGATTTTAGTATCTGTTTAGCAAAAAAAACCGAAAAAAGTGAAAATAAAGAATTTATATGAGATTCTAAATAAATTTGGGATTAAAACGATATTGATGTTGATGTGGGTCCAAGAAAATTCTGCAAGTTTTCATCAAATAAAAACAATCGATTTCCAATCAAACATGGCGAAACTTGAGTCAGTAGGCCGATGTATTTTAGTCCCCCAAATCTACTCGAAGAAAAAATGGACATTTTCTCTCTTCACTTTTGAATAATTATAGACTGACACGTGGCTTTACCAACATTAAATGTAAATGCATCTCCTCTCATGTCAATCAAATCGACGTAACCTAGACAACAGACCACTTGGATGAGATCAGCAGAATACGATGATGTTCCTTTTCCCCTTCTTTAGTCATTTTCTCCTTACTCCTTCTCTGCGTTTACACTGTAGGATGGACATGGAGCTCACTGAGTCAAAAAGCGGGTTGGACACAATACACTTGACTATTGGTGGTGCTTTTCTTTCTTTCTTTCTGTTTTTAAATATGTTTTTTTTTTTGCTTTTGCTTTTTTTTTTAAATCTTTCTCCTTTATTTAATATTTAGGAAAATGGGGTTGGTATCACTATGAAATATATTTTTAGGGTTAACTTCTTGTTGAAGGATGTTGGAACACTTTATTATGTGATGTTTTAAATATTATTGTATTATTAAAATATGTTGTTGATGATTTGCCGGTAAAAAAAGTCTTTGTAACATGTAGAAGGTTTCAGATTTCTTCTATTTTGAGAATAACCGGGTTGATCGAGAGATATGAAGGTGAACAGGTCAGAAGACTTACACTACAAAAAATGTCGACCAGTGCGACAGCAAATCCCGTCGCATCATTCGTTATATACCGTCGCAAATCAAGGTTTGCGACCAATTGCGACGGCAGGTTTTACGTCGCGTTAGCGCTGTCGCAAACAGCTTCGAGTCGCATAACTGTCACAAATTGTGACGCCAATAAACCGTCGCAAGTTCATCACTATTTGCGACAAACTAACTGTCGCATTTGCGACGACGAAATGGTGTCTGAATGTTGTCGGAAATTGCGACAGTTCATCGGTTACAACAAGGGTCGCATCTTACGACCAAAATTCTGTCAATACAACGTCGTATATTCCGACAGAATACTGTTGCTGGAAATCCGTTGCATCTTGCGACAAAAATCTATCGTTGAAAAACTGTTGTAAATTGCGACGGAATTTGTTTCTGTGACAAGTTACTACAAAAGTCTCGTTGTCGCACTATGCGACGGAAGTCAGTTGTGACAGATTGCGATTGTAGTTTTGGGTCGAAAATACTGTCGCAAAATAAAAAACACGATCGTTGATCTTAGAATTAACCGCATCTTCAATCTCTTGAGCCCGATCATCGATATATGTACCATCGGCACGACGATGCGTCTCCTGAAAAACGTGCAGAACAGAAGGTTCAACACCTTCTTTCTGCACCTGAGAAAAAGCAATCATCAGAAACTATTTTAAGTTTTAGAATTTATTAAATAAAATCATGGAAATTAAAACTTACTATATCATATGCCACTCGGACAAAAGACCTCCGACCAACAGTATGAGTTGGAGGAACCCGATCCGATGTAGATCGAGATTTTCTGTTGCTTGAAGCGACTCGTGCACGTTCCAACGTTTTATTAATTTTTGTGATTCAACAATTGGATCATCTGTTTTCATTTTCTAGGTGTTTTGGGTTTCTCTCTGGGTTTATTTACGGGGTTCTTGATATCTCGCGTGAGTCCGAATATTGGGTTGTAACTCTCAATATCAATCAACATAGTGAATCGTCGAAGCTCTCTCTACCGTTAATATGATTCACATCGAACCCGAATATATTTAATCTTGCATATGTTGTTCTCATTTTATTTTCTCGATCGTCCAATGATTTTTTTGTTTGTTTTCGGGTTTAAAAACCACAAGTGGTATCAGAGTTTGGTTAGAGATACGAAAATCTCTTGCCAGGTCGAATCTTGACACAGTTCAAGTATTCAAGAGTTCAACCGAGATTTGGTGGAGACAAAGAGGTCTTTCACTGAAGCAAGTCGTCTTGACGCAGATTCAAGAGTCTAAAACTTGAGACATTCATCAATGGCGACAATGTCTACGGTGGTAAAATTGGACGTAGAGAAACATGACGGAAAATTAGACTTTTTCTTTTGGAAGGGCATGGTGTTTGGCAAGCCTTGAGATACTCAAACTACATGACATAAAGGAGGTGAAATCATGGACTGTCACTAAAAATTACACCAAATAATGTCATTTTTATTATAATAATATAATTTCTAATACGACACCAAATAACCAAATTTAAAATCTCTACTAAAGATGAGAAATAAGCATGAATCTAATCTCCGTCTTCTAAATCATTATTGGACCTAGGCTTGATTGCGTAAACGGTAAACCGAACAGCCACTCCAAGAAAATTGTCGACCATGTCTACGCCTCTCACGTTGGACATCCATAAAACAAGGAATTTTATAGTTATTTATATGTAATGTAATATTGTTTGAAGTATTCACGTTATATAATCCTTAGATTTGAATATTTCCAAAAAAACTATTACCGGACTTGCGAGCTACTCATTATTTATTTTATTATGTTAAGGGTCAATATTTAATTCCAATTTTCTAAAAAATATATTCAACTTAATAATTAGTTCTTACTTATTTTTCCTAATATTCAACTAAAAAAAGATGTTAGAGCTTTATTTTGAGTTACATAGAGTAATCAGTATGGAAATACAAACACAGACACCAAAATTCAATCAGATTCGATTTATTATACATCTTCAAAAGAAATACTCTGTTTTATTCAAATGTAAAGATTCAGATCTGAAATAGTATACATCCTCTAATTCTATTAAGATTTTTATTCTGATAAGACAAACTAAACAAAAATATATTAAAACATTTTCTTCATAAAATTCATCCTCTAATTTATTTTTATTGAACATAAAACATCCTTCAGACATACATACTGTATGCGATTATTATTGCATGAAAGACGAAATGAAACAGTAATTCTAAGAGAAACACGCGAAGACATTAAAAACCCAACAAAAGCAGAAACTCACAAACTTCCAAATAACTCATCTTGTTCAGTACTCTTAAACCCACATCTCAAGCGCGACCTTTACTTAGCCGAAGCATCATTCTTCTGAGAAGGCGGGTTAAGCTCCTCCCAAGCTTCGATCCAGGCAACCATGGCGTCGGCCATTTTCACAAAGTAAGGGTCCACTTTCACGAGCTTTTCCCTCACCAGTTTTGACAGCTCTAGGTAGCATTTGGCCGCGGTGTCGGCCTCTTTCGTGAGCTGAACGTTTTGGAAGAAAGGGATCATCTCTTCTTGCCAATGGATCCCGGAATGCTCCTTCTTCAAATTGACAAACGGATTGCTCGCTTTGCTGTGCCACAGGTAGGGCAAACCGGTCTTGACACCAAAGCCCAAGTGGTCACACACTACCTAAAATCAGTAGATAAATAAGTGAGCAAAGTGTTTGAATTTTACTCTTAAAACTTTGAACAATTTCTTATACAAATAGAATTCAAAAGAAAATGGGTTAAACCTTGGTGGCCCATCCGGCCCACATATCGTCATATCTAGCAATGGGCTGACCCTCACCCATGAGGGCAAAGTACATAGCAGGCCCAATAAGCTCCCTATTGAATGCCAAATTCATCCCACACATTGGGTACAACACCCCCTTCGGGATGGTCATCACCGCATCCACATACCTGTAAGGGCTAGGGTTGCGTTACATATTCCACCATCTAAGTTCATTCAAATAAAATGATCAATATATATAAATATACACACATATGTATGTATAAATATGACCTGGTGTTTCGCTCACGAGGCTTGACAAGTTGGGTAGGGGCGTCATAGTCAGGGATGTTGAGCCAAAGGCCATGGGAGATGGCGGTCGGGACACCTTCCCTTAAGCTGAAAGGGTATCCTCGAACAAAGTCAGTGCCTTCTCTGAAAGGGTCATACAGAGTGTTGAAAAAGTAAGGTGTTGAGGGTGTCTCCAGGTTCCTTATGTGTTGAGCTATCACATTGATCTCTTTCCCACTTGGATCTTTTGCCACCTTTGAATTTTTCAACAGAAGAAATTAATCACACATTATTGATATTGGTGCATTGAATATATATATATATATATATATATGACATAACACAACCTTGGTATTAGTAGATATGTAGGGCAATATGACAATTATATAAACTCAAACCAATAACCTTCTAAAGCAAACGATGTGATCTGGAAACCATTTGAGCGAATATATACAAATACAGAGGCAACAATGGGGGAAAGAAAAGAGGACTTACAAAGCAATCATCATCAATGGTGAAGATATACTTCTTCTTGGAGACCATGTAGCCAAAACAGCGACATCCACCATCCTTGAAGGAGATACAACTTGCTCTCGGACCCAAGATCCTGTTGATATCATTGCGGTTGTAGAGCTCATAATCATAACCTTCGGGAACTTTGATCTTGACAGATGGGTCACCATCTTGAACAATGATCAAGTGGTACTGCTGAAAAAAGGGTCTCCATTGTTCCAAGAAATCCAAATTCCTGATCGTCGGGATCACAATATCGAGATCGTCTTTCAATGGGGCTGCTTCGATCGCTTCAAGGTTGTAACCTGCCATTGTTACAATCGAAGAGAGAAAATGATGTGTGTTACTTGAAGTTTTTGGTAATGGTGATTAGGAGAAGAGTATTAGGGTTTATATAAGAGTTTTTAAGTCAACGAGAGACGGGGTAACTTAGCCACGAAAAAGAGAAGGCGATTTGATTATTAACCAGCGATTATATTTTACTTTCTACGAGGCCGCATCTCATTTCATGCAAAGTTTCTTCGAGTCTACGTCAAAGTTTGAATTTTTCGACGACTAATAACTTAAAAAAAAATGTTGTAGAATGTGATAAACTAAAATAGAGTTCGCTTATTTTTGCCTCATTTATCGGCCTTATGGGTATTAAAGAACAATATAGGAGGGAGGGGCTGTTGAATTGTAACGATCAAGTATTCATACTCATAAATTTAACAAGGAATATGAAATCTTCAATCCTAACATGCCGAAACAGAAATTATAAAACAGGCATATTCACATTAACCCTATATATATATATATTTTTTTCCGAAATAACAATTAAGTACCTAATTTTTTAATTAGATCACAAATGACGTGTATGAAATATTTCATAATATCTGTCATATACTTTTTTTTAAATGTTGATCTATTGCATTAGTACTGATCTGAAAAGTTTTAGTTTTGTCAAATCTTTTGATTTGAACCTTTAAAATCAAATAATCCATTAGGGGTATCAAATCTTTTGATCTCAAAAGTTTTAATTTTGTCAAATCTTTATGTATTTTAAAACGCCTATTTGCAACCGTCGAGCTCTCTGCCACGGCTCCTTCTGGGTCATTTTTCGCCGTTGTCTGTGCTCGGGTTTTCCGGCGACAGTTCGACCGTGCCAGAAACCGACAGAAATCGACCGTCGACGGTGACCAGGGGCAGATCCACATGTATTGGTGTGGGTCCCATACTCCCATATATTTAACTAAAAAAATTATTTATTTGTAATTGTTTAAAATTTTGATAAAAAATATTAAAGCCCCTGTTTAAATTTTTGTTTTGTCCCCTCTTCTCATTCTTTTTTTTCTTGTTTTAATTTTCTCTCTCTAAATATTAGATCTTGTGACGCTTTTTTTAATCTTTATTTTCATCTATTTTTTTCTTTTCTCTCTCTCAATTTTCTAAAATTTTTACAAATATAATATTAAATATAATACAAAAAATAAAGAAAAATTAAATTTAAAAATATATAAAAGTTACGATTTTATCTAGTTTATTTTATAAAAAATTATATATTTCAAACAATCATAAATAAAATTAGTATAGATAGATTTTAAAAAATAGAAAATCATAGAATTTAGTGGTACAATGTAAATATTATTTTAACAATATATTTTATTAATTTTGATATATGTTTAGTATAATATTTTAGGGGTTAACATTTTGGTATGATTTTTCATAGTAAACCGTACAAAGCCGGACAATACGGTATTTTTTTATAATCCAAACAGTATTATTTTTAGATAATTGAATTTTCGAAAACGAATAGAATTTAAAAAAATCCAAAATATAAGATTTTTTTAATAAAAGATCTTATTTTTTTTAATAAAAACCGAAATCAAACCGAACTGTATATGATGTAATAACCGATTCATACATATTTTTCTAAAATCGAAAGAATCGAACCAATCTATTACAAAATTGAACTCGAACCGAATGCCAAAACGTCTATATGTTTTCCTCACTAATAGTTTTTTCTGAGTCAACCATTGACTCTAATCATGGACGGACCATTTGTATTTGAATGGAGGTACGCCATCTAACTAATTAAAAAACTTGAATTTATTTACACATTTTATAAAATTTTAAACATAAATGTTAAATGCCCCCACTATTTTTTTTAATCCCCATTCTTTTTTCCTTTTATTTGTTTCTCTTCCTTTTAGGTTATGTCTTTTTTTTACCCTTTATTTTCCATTTTTTTGAATATTTCTTATCTCAATTCCCTAAAAAAATCAATAAATACAATCTACCACCTTAATGATATTTAATAATAATTAAATAAAGAAAACTAAGATAAAAAATTAAAAATGTATAAATATTTTGCGTTTTATTTAAGTAATTTTTTTGTTACTCATAAATTTGTTGTTCTATATATTTACTTAATATTGTTTATATATTTATTTAATTTTGTGTTTCATTTGGTAAAAAAATAATGGATAATTTTTTCAATTTTTTTTTACATAATATCTCAAAATAGTGGTAAAGTTTTAACCAATAACGTATCAAATTCTTATCTTAACTCTCAATATATGAACAATTGATTTATGATATAGTTTTATTTTTTTATATTTTATATGTAAAAGAAGTCATTAACTATTGACCCCCCCACCCAAAAAAATCTCTGGGTCCATCCGCTAATTGTGATATTTTTTTAGGTTTTTTTTTATTTCCTCATTGTGTGACGGAGGTCACACTATCGAGGTAGCTCCTAAATAGCTCATTAGTGAGGAGGTTTTATCGAGAACCAAAGAAAAATGAGACATATTTGAATAATTTTCAAAAAACAAACTAATCAGAAATTTATAAAATCTATACCAAACAATGGTATATGGTTTTCGCTAATTGGATGGTAAATAGAAAAAGATTTTGTGCATCAAACATAAAACATATTTTGATTAATTTATTTTTCATCCATACCAAATAAAATAAATACGAATCAAATTAGAAAAAAAATAAAAGGACTAAAAAAAGATTTTTCAATATTTTAAAAAGATCGAAACAAGTTCTTAAGGCATGACATGTTCTAATATCAATTCTTGAATTTTAATTACCTAATATTAAAATTCATAAATTTAATGCAAAATACATATAATTCATAAATACCTGAATTCATCTTTGTGATAAAATTGATCTTCTATACCAAATAGACAAAGAACTCTGGTTGTAAGAAATGTTTGACTCAAAGATAAGAATTCTTAATTAATTTATAGAAAATGATGGTCCTAAGTTTTTAATTTCTATCCATAAAAGAAAAGATAAAAAATGATTATATTTTATTATTAGATTCCTCTATCCTAATATAGAAAATTTTCATAATTTTTATAGATACCAAATAAAACAAATACGGATTAAATTAGAAAAAAAGACTAAAATACAATTTTTTTTCAATATTTTAAAAAGATTGAAACACACAACATGTTCTAATATCAATTCTTTAATTTAAATTATCTAATATTAAAATTCATAAATTTAATGCAAAATAGATATAATTCATAAATATCAGAATTCATCTTTTTGATAAAATTTGATATTCTATATCATATAGACAAAGAAATCTGGTTGTAAGAAATGTTTTACCGATAGATGAGAATTCTTAATTAATTCATAAAAAATGATCTTCCTAAAATTTTAATTTCTATCCATAAAGAAAAAGATAAAAAATGATTATATTTATTTATTAGACTCCTCTATCCTAATATAGTAGATTTTCATAATTTTTTCGTAACTGTTGGAAGTTATAAAAAAATAAAAAATTATTATTATTATTATATTAAAATAATAATATTTGTAGTAGATATAAATAAAATAAATTTAAATTTAGAGCATAACAATTTAAAAAGAAATATTTGAAAATATTTATTAGCTTCTTCTAATATGTTAGACCATTCTATTTCAAAGTAAAAATTTATCATTGTTATTAAAGAAAAATAGAAAACACAAATAAATATTCAATACTTTACAAATAATTGTAATTCTCTACTGAAAAGAATATGATTAATATTTTTATGATCATAATAGTAAAAGATGATGATTTTCTAAAAAACTAAATTAGAAATATTGTGAAAGATTTATTTGGAATTGTCTTTATAGTTATATAAAACAAATAAGGTGTGAAATAGATTAGAACAAATGCTATCGTAAATGCTAATAAATATTTCTAAATATTAAATTAAGAAATTTATTAAGACAATTAATCAAATAGTTTTAAAATATTAAACATTATTCCACAAATTTCAATAAATAATTTTGTTAAAAATAATAACTTAAACAATAAAATAAATCTAATCAAAATAAGTACAGCATTAAAATCTAGTCATAATAATTATGACATTAAAATCTTATCATAATAATTATGGCATTAAATTCAATAGATCTTACAAAAAAAACATTTACTTCCCCAATACACAATAATTATTATGGCATTAAAATAAATAATATTTTTTTCATAATAAACATCTATCTATCTATATATATATAAATACAGTGGAATCATACGGGAGTGACACGTGTCACATTTATAAGAAATTAATGCAAATAGTCTACTAATTTATAACGTGTAAATATGGTGTTCTCAACTTTTTTTAATGCATATTAAATTTAGTCAAAAGATAGTGTTGCTTTAATTGAAAAAGAATAAGTTCAATTAATAAACTCTAAACTATAAATGGTGCTTATGTGCTCGAATATTCATATCAGCAATACAACTATCAACCGATTATATATTTTGGTGTTGGAAAGTTCTTGAAATCAAAGGTCCACTCCTACACGTTCAGGTTTGCAATTTAATTTTAATTTAATCTGTGATTTTTCTTTTGATTCTGTATTATTTAGTTTATTTCGTTTTTTTAAAATATTTTAATTGTGTATTTGGTTTTTGATAAGGGGTCAACATTCAACTTTGGTAACTATTGCACCACTGATAGTTTTATAGATATATAGTTTTTCCTACCTTACATATGAATTCAATAGATCTTTTGAAAATTCAAAATTGAATTTGAATTCATGTTTTACTACTAAATTTAGAAAAATGTCGAAAATGAAACTGAATTATCACATATGCATATGTAATCAAGAAAAATATTTTTAAAATATCGTAAATTAATAACCATTTTTTAGTAATAAGTTCTTAAGAAATTCTCCAAAAAAAACACAATATACTAATCAAAAGATTTATTTGAGTAATATCATATGGAAGTTTAAAAATTCTGGAAAATAGCTTCACATACTATTTAAACCTCATGATACATCTCTTAATTCAGCGATAGAGTATTATTATTATTATTATTATTATTATTATTATTATTATTATTATTATTATTATTATTATTATTATTATTATTGTTATTATTATAGAAAATAAAAAGAATATGTTTTTATTTCTATTTGATTAGTAGTATTTTAATGAATTTAATTACTCTGATGAAATCAGCCAAATATATCATTTGGTTAGTGTTATCAATTTTTTAAATGTTAGTAAACATAACATTTCATTGGTACCAAAACATATAGTTATATTTTTTTAATATTTATATCAGTATATATTATATATGATTATATATAGAAGTAAAAAAAATTGTTTTTGTTTACCGACTTTTGTTTAACATATTTTTTTTATATATATATAAAATTTTATTTTTTGATTTAATTTTAATTACAGAATAATATCTCCACATCTATATATATAAAAGTTTTATTTAGAACAATTTGGTGGATCAACCTAAATATCACCTATGTTGCATTTTGTTAAATTTTCATTAATTTATATAAAATATAATATTTATCTGCTAATCATATTTTTTATATTTTTAAATATGATATCTCATCGATTTTTGTGTGTAAATATATATATTATTTCATTCAACGATTGCCTTATTCATATAAAAATAATGAATAAATATACTATATTGCAAATAATGTTGTTATTGATAAAAATAATTATTATAGGAATCTAAAAATCAGATGCATCCAATGATATCAACCCATATAGGATTGAATCAGATGAGTATGCATCATAATTATCGGTTTATTATGATCAGATTTTTAAGAATATGGGATGAACGAAATCTTTTCAATGAAAATAGGTTCAATGACATCAGATTCTTATTAATTGATGAAAATGTACATTCTAATTAACATTGATTTTCTTATACTATGCTTATTAAAAATCTAACATTTTCTATTTAACGTTGTAGGAGAATGTTGATGAAGGAAAAATATTTTTAATCAGACATTTTAAGATTCTACCAAATAAAAATATATACAAATTAACGAACAGTAAATTTCGTATTTATTTTACAGAATATACTACTATTAAAAAATTTATTGTAATTACTTATAGTATTGCCAAAAAAATTTTTTGAATATGTTTATATGACGATTTGTTGGCGTTGGCAAACAAAAAATAGACCTACCAGATATGTGACAATATAAAAAACTTAAAACAAATATTGGATTTTATAATTAATATATTCTCTAATATTGCAGATATTATTGGAGTTTTAGTCGCAATACATATAAGGATCAAATTTACTAATGTCATCGTCAACTCAGAAAATTATTCTTCGTTTATTAATGAAAGAGTAAGTTTTCAAATTTTATTTACTCATTTTATAAAATTTTAACTAAATTAGTTTTATACAAAACGAACATATAATTTTAATTTAAAAACAAGCAACAGTATCGTCAAGATTTTTGTATGGGATGATCTCGCTGCAGAACTTCGTTCACAAATTCATAGATCGAATGCCAGAAAAATTATCGCATTCGTTACGTGTGTAAATCCAAAGATTATTCACGGTAATTATTTAATAGAAATTAATTTCTAAATATTTGATAGATTAATATTTAAAAACCATTATCATTATTATATTGAGTTTATTAATATATTTTATGCATCAGATGTTCTATCCTCAACACATTAACATCTACAAAGATTTACATAGATGAAAAATTGAACATTATAAAAAATTTTCGTTTAAGGTAAATAAATTATATCATTCTTTAAAAAATCTATATTTATAATATTTACCAAAATAATTTTTATTATTACGTTACAATTGAATTTTTGGCAGGCATTGAAGAAAAATCACACTAGTACGGAAGACAACCATAATTAATCGGTTACAGTAAAATGGTAAAATATCTATGTAGCGGTAACAATATTCTGTCATTGATTTAATTCTGTTTGCAAAAAAATATAATGATATTAATATTTAGTCCAACTCAAACAACTTATATTAGTTTTTGCTACAATCATATTAACAAATGAAATACAAATATAAACGTCAAGTGTTTTATATCATACTACAACTCGAAATCATTATAAAATCATTACCGAATCAACCACACCAATTAATTTAATATGAACTAAAAAATATACAATTTTAGTTTAATGACGTGGCATGTTCACGTAGTAAATTTTAGTTATGTGTCCAACATGTCATATATTTATTTGTCGTAATTCACCAAAATTTAACGTCGTTGGAGGTGGTGTAGAAAATTGTTAAACATGTTGAGATTTGAGATTTTAAATCTCTACGATACACGCAGATTATTATCTAGATTAAAAATAAAAAATAAAAAATAAAAACGATCAACAAAATATAAAAAATGATAAGAGAAACATATAAAAGAAGAAAATAGTGGTAAAAATATTATGGACATCTACAAATTTTATAAAATTTATGAATAAATTATATTTTGTTAATTATAGAGTGGGATATAACATCCCATATTATTATATTTAGATCAATCCTTATCATCTTATTATTTCCACACTTTGACAAAACATTATTTTAATAGAATAATTTAAATTATAAATTTAAAAACAAAAATTTATTATATTTAATTTTTAAAATAAAAAATTATTTAAATTCGTAAATATTTAGTCTGCGCTATTCGCGCGGGTTATTAACTAGTATATATAAAAGTACGGTGGATTCATATGAGAGTGACACATATCACATTTTTTTTGCATTAAATATATTTTAATATATTTCTTTATTTAATGATTTAATATAGAGAAATTCCCAAAACGTAATTCATTCTCACTATTAACTAAGAGACCAACAAAGTTATTATGTGAATCCTACATGAACTAAGAATAATTTGTTTATAGATTTTTTAAAATAATTTGTTTCTTATTTAATGATTTATATTTTTAATGCATATTAGTCATCATAAAAA